ATAAAGTGTATATTAGCAATGCAGGTTCATTTGCAGAGGTTCTGAGGTATCTGCTGACATCTCAGTCACCACCCTGAAACAATGGAGGTAACAATTCAATTGTGATGCTCACAATGTTGAACAACAACAACAGGTCTTTCCAGCTCTTTCTATTTCTCTGGACAGCCCTCATCCCTGGCTGCATACAGGTTCATGGAGACTATTTTCCATACAAGAAACTGTCCCAAAAATAGCTTATTTTAGCAAAGAGACAGCTCATGTCTGATTATGTATTGGCGTAGTCCATGCTGTTAAAACTTTGTCTCTTAAACATAAGAGTAAAAACAAGTCTACATTTTTATTCACAAACAGCTGAGAAACACTGAAGTCCCATCCTTTTAAATGTGAGATATTAAAGTATCTATTGAACACTAACAATCCTCATTTCAAGACTGTATGGAATAATGTAGAAACATTTGCAATCTTTCTCTGCCACTTATAAACAGACCGACTTCTGTCCTCCAGTGAGCCCCTCAACAAAACACACAGACTTCCCCTTCAAATTCCCTTTCTTCCTGTCCACAACCTCCCCCTAAAATGAGCCTCTTGCAGTTCCCCCCAAAAAAAGATCTCAGGAAGGGGAAAAGCAGGAGGAGGAGGTGGAAAAGAAGTGTGGTCTGGCTGCTCTGGCTTCTAATCTCTGTGACACATCACAACCTCCAGCCTTCCTCCCCCTCCTCCTCTACATCCACCCCATCACCCACACATACACTCCATCCCTTGACTTTCCCCTCTGTCTACCCAGCCCACTTGCAGGAGTTTGCCATCAGATGTACACTCTGACAACAGCATGTGTCAGCCCGCAGAGTTGCCTCTCAGTCTACTACATCTACACATGATTAAGACTTTATAGCAGGCATGAGATTCACAATACAGAAAAGGCTTTTAAACAGCATGTACTTAGTATTTACTGTTAACTGACCACTTTGGTAAAACTATACTGAAAGGGTTGAGCTGAAACAACACCATTTCTTCCTATTTAAAGAACATGTACACGTAAATCAGAAAACGGAGAAACAGCAAGAATGATAATGCAACAGTGGAGATCGTCATACAGCAACTGACTAGGTTAGCCTGCAGCCATTAAAAATTAAAAACAACAACAAAAAGACTAAATGAAGCTTGATTATTTAAGCTATTAGTAAATACCTTCAAAACCAAGTCACATTTTGTGGTAATACAACTAGCAAGCACATCTGACTCAACATCAAATGAAGTGAGGACACCAAAAGGTTACAAAAGTTACCTTACCAAGAAAGTCTGGGAACAGGGATACTCTCATTATTCAGGAATAATTAAATAGGGTTAGGGCTTGGCATTTAATTTTTCTATTAAGATATCCATTTTGTTGAGGAAAAGTGACTGAAAAAAAGATTTTACTTAATTTTTCTCATGCACATTTGTTGAAAAAAAGATTTCATTATAATTGTTTTGAATGTTCTACTTCAGCTTTGTTAAGTGATCCACTGTTTGGTTGTGTTTGCCATGTTCTGACCATAAAGAATACTTTAACCACAATTAACCATCTGGTTTCTTCAACTTTCACTCAGGAGCAAAAATCAGCCTATAAATTTGAAAGAAACAATAACTTGACATTTATCGTGATAATTATTGATACTGAATAATATGAAATGTTTTATCGTGATAATATTTTTGGCCAAATCGCCCAACCTTAACTTGAAGGAACTCTGCCGCATTCGTTAACTTTTAAAACAAAGGGGGGCGGGGGCACCAGTAATTAGAATTTACTAAACAAGATGTAATATAAGGAATACTTAAAATGATCTCACATTGAAACTTGAGTATTGTATCAGCACCTCCCTTTAGATTCTGGTCCCTAATACTTATTATTACTTATTATTATTGCCGACATTGACCAGATCTTAATTATACCATTATACCAAATTCTAAGACTTTTCTTCAGAAAAGTAAAGGCAAGGGTAAAACGCTCTCTAATACAATGAGCCTAAAGAGCAACGGCAAACTGCATTCTCCATAGAAACCTACAACAATATGTCAATGGTTAGCCTTATGGGAGGCTGGGTTGAGGATGGGGGTTGACTATTGTCAACGAGCTGCTTGAATGAACTGAGTATTATGGGGAGAGACTGCAAATCAAGTTCTAAGCCCTCCCCTCAAAGCCGACTCCACTGTTTGTACAAAATCAACATAGAACCAACCTACAAGAAGAATGACAGGGAAGGCAGAGTTTCCCACTGAGGCACAGAGAGGGAAACAGAAGCAGCAACCAACGAAGGGGGGGACTGTCAGTGAATCAAAAAAAGAGCGGGAAACAACAGTGTGAGAAAGAAAGGGAGTAAGAAATGGGGAGAGACTGGCTGAAGACCATGAGTAAGACATCAACAGAACAAACATCGGTAAGTAAGCTAATATCTGATGGCCTCAAAATATCCTCAGTGAAACTAGTACTACTAACTTAATTGTAGTGTTAACCCCCTGCAAACCCACTTCTACAAGGGCTCCCTTTTGTACCAAGCTGAGTCATCTCCAGCCAACTCAAATCCCACCTGGTTACGAAGAGGGTGGGGGAGCCCCCCCCCCCCCCCTTACTGTAATGTAGATCTGCCCTCTCATTGTGTTCCAGTAAAGTGCATCACTTGATAAGAAAAGTATGTTTATGTGTACAGTTGTTGCCACCACCAGGACAGGCTTCTTTGACAATAAGAAACGCCTAGCCTCTTATACAGTCAGTCACAGCTTATACCCATCCATGAGGAACACCTTCATATGGGTAATAGTGTAATTTAAATTGTTCGACATTTGCAAGAGTTACATGAGAAGATCAACCCCACTCGTTTCTGTAAAATAAACATCCACCTAAAACCAGCATGACTTAACAAAAACTGCATTCTATGTAAAAAAATATTTACCGTTAACATAATGTTAGCAAGATGATACCCATAATTTGAAATTCCTGCCTTTACAGCTCAGCCATAATGTAATATCAACATCAAGTGACAAGCTGTTTCTGGGCATACCTTTGGGTTAGCACATCAAAAATGGATTTGACTTGCTTAAGGCTTGCACTCATTATATCCCAAGTGCTAAGCTCTCCAGAGTCATGATCATGCCACATGCTGCGGGGGGGTGGTGGTGATGGAGCAGTGGATAAGACACATGCCTTTGGTGAGACCCGGGTTCAATTCCTCACTGTGACACATCCACCAATGTGTCCCTGAGCAAGGCACTTAACCCCTAGTTGCTCCAGAGGGGTGTGACCTCTGACATATGTAGCAATTCTAAGTCGTTTTGGATAAAAGAGTCAGCTAAATGAATAAAAGTAAATGTACTGAGGGAAAAGAGTGAGTCATTTTCTAAGCGGGTTCTCCGGGCCACTGACTGACTGATGAAGGGCCCCCTTCTAATCATTCACACAGGCACAGGGCTCACTGGTTGACCTGTGGTGGTTAATGTGATTGTGTATCAACACCAACACACAATATCAATGCCCTACATGGACAAGCCACAAAGATACACAGTAAAATGATCCACTGTGTTAATGCATTTTCCAAAGTGAAAGCATCGACCACACTCCTTAACGCACCTAAGGTAAGGCTGGCTAGCAGTATACTCTGCATGAAATTGCATTTGATGTGTTCAGACCCATACATTCATGGCGAGTCCCAAGCCAATGGCTATGCCACAATTTTGAGTTTAAGACATCCTTTTCACACTTGGAAGAGCAAAGCCAAATCGGATGCTTGTATTGGTCATTTTGCCTGTGATAACCTACCAAATTAAATCTATTTAGAGAGTATACTGTTAAGCTTAACTTGCACACCTGCCACAATATAACTGCTTAAGTCTGTTTGACATTGCTGCAGGTGCTTGGTTACTGGGAAAACACCTCATGTTCCCTTATGCTTACCAGCAATGGGAAGCTTCCCAACTGGGAGAAGCAGGGAGGCTAATGAGACAGCAGAGAGGGATCTCCTCTTGGGGAGGAGGGGATTAAGAACTGACTGCTGTATCATGTGTCACTGGCTGATCAAGAGTACCTGGTGTTCAGTTTATGGTCATGTAAGTGGTAAGCTTCCGTTACAGATGAGACAAAGACAGGCGGTCCAGACTGTTTAACTGCCACTATGACCAAGAAAAAAAAAAAACATCTAACAGCCATGGACTAGGTTGACATTTGTTATTTCCAGGACTAGACAGCAATATGCAAGATTGCATGAGGTTATTGCTGTAGATAAACATTTTCAGTAATGTTTGGTAGTTGGTATACTCAGGCTAGTGTGTAGTTGGAAAAGCAAATAACTAGCTCAACTTGACAGGTTAAACTTACTGCCAACTTGTTCCAAAAACAACCAGCATTGGCTGAATGTTTTATGCACAAAGCATGGCCATGGCAAAACAGGTTAACTCTCAGACTGTATTTGTTGTGCGAGAAGGCTACTGCTAAATATATTGAGATCAGTCTGGGATCAGTTGGTGACCAAGATCTTGGGCCTTGAAAGGGCAGAGTATACCTACTGTATTAAGTTCTCAAGTAGCTAGCCATGTTAGGTTTGAGCTGAACACAACATGTCATTCTGCACCATGACTACTAAACAAAGAAATAACTTAATAGTGTGGGAATCTTTCTGATGATGCAGGGGAATACCAGGCTTTACCTCAGCACATGCTTAATAAAGCCCTCACACCTGGATGCTAATGAGTGTACAGTGGAAGAGAGAGAACTAACTTATCAGTACCCTTGGGGAATAACTTGTAAAATGATTACAACAGCTACATATCTTGCTTTTGAGTTCAAATAAGTAGTTTAAGTCAGTCTGACATGACGGGGAGGGGGTGTTATTCAATGAAAGCCTTTCAATTGTGACTCATGTTTAGGCAAAATAAGAACAGAGGGTGACAGACTCATTGCTAACTTCAACTGACACATACACTGAAAAGTAGTCAACCGCTTAGTAAAGAGGCTATATGGAATAATTTACCTGTAGTTCCGATTTCCATTCATGAGGTCTCTGCCCGGTTCACTTCCCGGATCACAGGTGTCAAACGTTTGGGACTCTTCCTCCGTTCAATCCGGTGTCTCCTTCGGCAGTGCACCGCCTCTGCAGCGCCGAATGGCAAGTGCCCTGGTCTCTGCTAGCTCCTCTCTCTCTGCGGACTGTCAAAAAAGGGGGGCCCTGGGTACAGTCGTTTCGCCGGGCCGGGGGTCTTCGACACCCCCAGCACACCGCCGTTCGCACACGGTAAACGTATCCAATCAGATGTCACTGCCACGGCGAAAGCTACTGGTTGCTCGACACGACGCTGTGGCAGTGAAAGCCTGCTAGTTAACGTTAGCCAAGTTAGCTCGCTAGGCAGGCTTAGGAAAGTGGCTGGAACGAAGGAGAGGAGCTGTCAGGACATGGTCACAGCGGGGTCACTGAGTCCAAATGAATCCTTACCGATAACAAAACAATAACAGAGACGACATAAATTCGTTTGTATGGCACAGCGAGCGACGAAGTAGCTACAGTAATAAGCTACCTGGCTAGGTCTGCTGTTGGACAGTTGGAATTCTGACAGACGATGGCTAACGTTACTTTTTATCGCGTTAAAACAGCCGCTGACACAGCCCCGTTCCCGAAGCACTATATCCCAAGGACGTCGTCTTCTACAGTTTGTATCCCGTTGCTAACATAAAGCTGTCAAAACCGGGCCGTGTCCGCCGTGAAGTGTAGAGATGTTCAGTCTGGTTGACAGATCAACTCAGCGGGGCTTCGGCAAGCCAGCTAAATATGGTGAAGTTGTCTTTCTGACACCGACAGGAAGAGGTGGGCTGTGTCACCAGACGTCAGAAGAATCAACTCCGCCTTCACTCATAGGTAGCCCAACAATAATTCAATACTGTGAATAAATTAGTAGATAAAATATGTATTTTTAAAGGCATTCCTGCGTCAGAATATATGAATTATTGGCTACGTGTGTTAAGAGTTAAGACTCTGGGCTTTCGTGTTAAAATTAAAAATGTGTAAACCTAGCCAAGTCCCATTTTATTTTTTTCCCTTCTGAGTTGTTCATTAGTTTTTGAGACTGTGGCTTAAACCATAATCCAAGTACCATAAAACTTCAATTGAAGACCTAGTCCCAATTAGTCCCCTGTCCCTTTTACTGACCTGGTGGCTACACATTTTTACAAATAAACACAGCCAGGTCCCAATTAGACACCTGGTTTGGTTTGTATCGATTCTGTAGAATCATGATTCTACAGAATTCATTATTCCGTTAATATATATATATATATATACACACACACAATTCAAACTAACTGGTATGGTAAAGAAGAGACATCAAAAAGCCAAATTTCTTTTATACCAGTAATGTTCATAGCGTTTGAAATAAACAATTTCACACGCAAATGTTTTGTGTATATAGGGTTGTCCCATATAGACACCTGTCCCAAATATAAACAAGTGGAGTTCAGTGACTTAAGCAAATAAAAGCCCGGGCTATTATTACATTTACAAGTAAAAAAAACCCATCAACAACAGGGGTAATAAAAAACAATTTTATTTTCTTTAAAAAATAACCCTCCCCAACAGAGTTCCCATTCTATCACATACAGAGCCAAATTAATATGCTTCCATGTCCTTTCATTCAAATCTACTGGGAAGTGCTATGACAAGGACTGTTCTTGATCAGTGGCTTCAATATTGCTTAGTCAGACAGTGAGGCTGTGTGGAGAGGAGTGGACTCTCCCTTGTCCACATGATGCATTTCCAGGGTGACTGCCATTTCGTCTTCCCCCTTTGCAAGGTGCTTTGTGGCTTCAGTGAGTTTTTTTTTTTTCTCCTTTTTTTAGCACAGAATGAGGGATTAAACACTGGCCCCAACTGTGAAAGGCCCGGCAGACGGTGAGCCAAAATACATAACAGGTTAATATTATATATTTATATATACAAATCACCTTGGACACAATGAAGGATCAGTAAAACGGTGTACAAAGGCATATTGATTATGCAAGTTAATAAACATGATTTAAAAATCAAACTCATCTGATCTCTTATTTTTTGATCCCTTTCAGCTCAAAGGGGCTCTGACCATCAGACAAGATTTGAGGCGCTTAAAGGGCAACTGAGGTGGAATTTTGAGACAGTCTCCACAGTGCCCTCTTGAGGATACACTCTGACACTAGTCACAATTTTCATATTAATAATGACAAAAGGAAAAAGCAGTCTGTATAACCATTACACAATCGAGGCAAAACAACTGACAGGCAGTGGTGAGCGCAAAGCTCCTACCTCTAAGGAAACCAAAATAAGGTGGCTCAGAATATCCAGTCATAAAAAATAATTACATGCATTTTTTCCTAAATCCAGAAAGTGACTAGATGTCAAAGGCAGGGCATATTTAGTAGTAGTAATAATGGCCCACCCTGTCCAATGTAGCAATCCCCTATCTGTGCCGCCCATGCACACAGAGCACCAAAAGGGATTGGCTAACACAAGCTAGGGGATTGGGGCAGGGGATGCTGCAGGTATGTGATGTTAAAAGTGAGAACAGGAAGGATACAATGTGATGATGGAAAGGGTGCTGTGTGATAGTTTGGCTTGGAAGGAAGTAAGGGGACAAGTGCATTTGAAGAAGTTGGTCTCTACATGCTAAGAAAGAGACTGAGTGGGTAGAGATGTGTGCTTCTGCTATCCAGGCTTTGAGTTGTAAATGCCTGCAAGGGAAGAGCTTTGTGTAAAAATGGGGATAGGTGTGTGTATAGGTATGCAAAGAAGCGTGTCCACGTCTCCACTGATACATGTTGGAATGTGCAGAATGATCGGAGCAAGGTCAATTGCTGAATGAGAGTTCAGCTTTGCAGCACTTGAGTGATCGCAGACTTTATTTTTTGCCTGCATTCAAATCTTCGGAGTGTTTACCTTGCCTATTGCCTTAGTTACCTCTTAGTTCTGACAGCTATGCAAGTGTGTGTGTGTGAGAAAACATCAGAGTAGTCTGTGTCAAGTCTCAGCACAGACAAGTCTCACCAAGTAAAATAAATCAATAAGTACATTTTTTTAAAAGTGCCTTGTAAGTCCTAAAAGAGCAACACATACAGGAATAACAGATTATCTTCCTGTTTAAGTGTGCCTTTTTCATTGGTTGGCATCACTTTTGGCTGGTTAATAATGCTGGTTCAGGTGCATGGGGTGCAAGTATATTTGATACACTCTATGTAAATGGTCCCTCTATTGTTATGCTAAGCTTGCCTCTATAGGCTAAATCTCTCAGGGACGGGCCAACCAGCACAAAGAGTGCGGCAGGACTTCTCTCCTGGATCTACGATATGCTACGCCTGCTCCTTCTGTCTAATAAAGACCAGAGTGCTAGTCTTACATGTACTAACAAACCCTTATGTGCAGGACTGGTGGCACCTACATGCTAACACTAAGTGCTAATGTACCATACCTCAGACACCTCAAGGCTGTTTAAAAAAATAACATTATTCAAAAACATTGAAAACATGAATGTAGTTCATGACAACGATAAAATGATGCATGTAAGTGTGCGTGCCCAGTACCACCCCTCTGGAGGATCCCCATACTAAAGGGGCTTGGAACACCAGCATCCAGCATTCGGCTGGGTAAAGAGGCAGCATCGTGGTGGCAGTTAAAAAAGTTTTTTGAGATTTTTTTTTCTTTTTATCGCCTATTTTCCTCCCATCCATATTGCATACTTACATACACAGGAGAGTGAAGGTAGGGTTCAATACTATTACATAATACCCACGTTTTAAAAATTCAACATAAAAAGAGAAATAGTCCTGGTAAAGTAAAAACAACAAAATGACAATAATAATAATAACAACAACAATAATAATAATAATAATAATATTCAAAACCTTTTGAGTGCATGAGGCTGTAGAGTCTGCCTGTGTTTTACAGGTGAAGGGCCTTATGATTCTTGGATTTGGGTAAATGACTGGCAAGTGAAGTTATGTGTGGTGGGAAGTCATTGGGAATAAGGGATGGGGATGAGGTGGTGGTGGGCCATGTGCCCACTCAGGTAGAAATAAGGTGGGAGGGATCGATGGTGGTGATGTTTGGTGTAGCTCAGGCAAAGTACATGGTCCTCAGGGTGTCGTGGTGAATCTGAACAGCTTTAGCCAGAGCCTGGGGGTCCCGACCGTTACTCTGACCCGACACGTGGCTACCCTCTCCACTGTAGAGAGATGACCGGAAGAGAAGTTGCAGAACAAAGATCAGTGACACTTCATGTTATTCACACTTTATTCATCGGAATAAAGTCACCATTAGCACCATCTCTCAAATTTGAGGTCCAAACTCCATATGAGGTCACTTCATATGCAGACAGTGTGGCAGAGCAGTTATATAAAGACTGATGGACTTTACGTGGTATACAGCCTATGTCATACATCTACATTACACAATTAAACATTTCCACTGGCTGTTGGTTATCACAATTTTGGGAATCAAAAACAAGCTTTAAAAGTCTGAGAAATCTACATGTCACATCTTTCATAACCACACTAACCTGTCATGTTCTTTGTCCACCAAATGGTAGCGGGCACGGAAGGCCACAAGACGAGCATAGTAGGCTGGCGCAGGGATGGAGACTGAGCGGGTACAACGCACGTAAGTGTGGCACAACTGGTAAGTTAGAATCTGTAACTCATCAGCCGTGAAACGATTGTCGTCCCATAAAACGTAGTAATGAGACGGCCGGCTGGTACCCTGGAGACAGCGAGATGGCATGAAAAAAACATGAAACATCTCTCAAGCAAAAAAACTGGCTATGTAAACCAACCAAATGTGATATATGGGGTTTTGAGGTCAATGGCATTCAGTCTTATAATCTTTTCAGAGATTTCAAAAACTTAATTACATAGTACATATTGCACAAAACATCTGTTTCTGTTATTAATACCTGTATGCCTGCATGGCTGCACAGGTAGAAGTCAAACTCAAAGGGATGAGTGATGCTGGTGTCCACTGTAGTCCCTGCAGGAATATTCCCACTCTTCCCAATCTATCAAGAGAAAACACAACACAATAATTATTAAAACATATGAAAACAAGTATGTAAGTATAAAAAGAGAACACTTTTTAAAAATAAACAGAGAGCTCACCCTTTCAGACTTGTCAGCACAGAAGAGGCGTGTGTGATGGCGTTTCTGCACCACAATATAGGTGATGCCTGGCTGATAGTCTTTCTCCAACTTGATGCATGCATCTCTGATAGCCAAGAGCTCATAGTGCAGAATCTACACACAAGAATATTTATTATTAGCACTCAAGTTGATACAGCTACTTTTATGGACAAATGCTGAAATGCACTTTGCCAACAGCACATTATGCAAATGAAGTAATACAAAATTATGTATTTTTACATATATTGGACAATCCAGTGAGTGATGTTTATAAACCTTCAAACAACTCCTATCAGTTTCTACTACCATGACATCCTATTACCTGTGGCAACTGTCCCTCAGGAACTCCATCTCTGTAGAAAATGATCCTGGTGGGCTTGAACCGGGTCGATTTGTAGAACTGAATTAGCAGTTCACGCACCATGTAAGACAGATCTTCAATGATCTCCTGCCTGGGTCTCTGGACTCGCACTGTGGCACAATATCTGCTGGGATGAGCATCCATACTGCCTACCACCTGGAAGAGAGGTGAGGAAGGGTGTGACAGAGTTGTACAGGGCACTGGTAACACATACGCAAAGAAAAATGTTCCACTGGGTATTGTAAGGTGCTTTGCATAACGGCATTCATCAAATGTATGATGGAGACACAAGAAAAGTCATGATAGTAGATTACATCTCAATCTACTTGGTGTCTCTGAGTAGGACTCAAGATGTTTCACACTGCAACAGGCTCATATTTGTCCCAATGTGTATATTTGTACAATAGCATCGCCTGGCTGCCACTGGGATGTGTGGGAGGCTCATGGTCCACCTTTTTTTTCTCCTCTATTCCTTACACCAAACCACAATCATAGTTTTTCCACTAGTTTTCACCTCAGTCAGGAGGAACAAGACGAACCCACTTCGCCTCTCCCATCCTCTGTGTGTGTGTGACTCAAGCGTTGTCATAATTGCTAGGCAACACCACAGCCAACCACAGCCAAGCTGAGGTCAAGGGCGGACGAGGGTTGACGTCATTTCCTTTTTGAACGTGAGTCAGTGATGAGCCATATGTTTCCCTCACCAACTCCTCTGTTACCACTTTTTTTATTTGTTCAGCCTCATTTATTGTGTATTGTGAGTCTAAACAAAAAGTCAGATTGATCGCAGACATTTCGCATGAACTGGACTCGACACAAAGCAGAGCGCATCTGGGCAATTACCACTAATTTACAAACAAGTTGGTGTCAGTCTTGTTAATCGTTATGAATGGCATAAGAGTACAAAAACTACGTAAATAAGGGCTGAAACTAATGATGGTTTTAATGAAAATGTCAAAATACAGTACAAATGCCCACCCCAAGTTAACAGAGCCCAAGGTGATGAATGCATCTCATCTAGCGTATAAACATAATAGTATTTCCCCATTTCTACAAGTGCATTCATGTTACCAGTTAAAATGTATAACAAATACTGAATGAGCTGATCGTAGTGACGTTTAAAGTGTTTCCATCTGTGTTCAAGATTTAAAAAGGTGTTCTTCTGCCTCAAACATACTATTTATGTCAGTGGCATTCTTCTTTCCAGCATTGCTGTGTGCCATAGCCACCTACTGCCACTGTCACTAAGCAACCACAACCATGTTCATTTGCTTTTCTATGACATCTTAAGGTCATTTGCATTATTTATATGCCTTTGTTGTTGTTTTTTTTGATTTGCCTATAAAAAAAAATTTAAAAAGTGTCCCTGCCAACTTAGCATCTGTACCGCAATCAGATGCTTTACTTTACATAACTATATACTTATAAATTAGTGCTGGGCAACGACTAAACATGTCCCCCCTACATTTCAAAATCTGTGTTTTGTCCCCCCACCTTTTTCCAGCGATTTCGGAGTTGGCTGATTAGTTTGAATGACTAGTCAGTCAATCAATCAATCACACACTCTGCATCAGACATGATTAAACGGTTGAAACGCGACAAATGTGACACAAGGCAAAGGTAGTGCTGAAAACTTGAGGGAGAAAAAAACAAAAAAACAAAAAGTGTTTGCTTGAGGCAGGTGAAGCAAAGTGCCTCAATATTACCTTTATTTTGTGCTGCTGTTACTTATAGCCAACCTGCAGACAGTAGTGAGGACTCCTGCTGCAGGGTGGGAAGTAGGCTAACTTGTAATAAATAATAATAAAATAACGCACATTTGCAAAATAAATAAATAATTGGCACCTTTTCATGTTCCTTTTTTAAAACTGTACTTTTACTCTTTAGGCCAGTAATCTACTTTTAATTTGGCTACATTTTCCATTCATACCTTCATAACTTAACCAGTCTGTAATTTAATCATTTTGCTTCATTAACCGAAATGATCCAGTCTGTGTGCGCGCAGTTACGCAGAAGAGCGCCTGGTGTCGGCGCTTGCCACAGTCACAGAGCTGGGCAGATGCAAACATTTAGAAAATCAGGCAATAACCTTTTTCTGTTTGAGGCTTTATTGTTCTTTTAATACAACTGAAATCCAGTGAGTACACACCATGGCACTGCTGGCCGTGTTGGAAAGCAGCCTGCATCGCTCTTTAACAAGCCGGCAAATAAATACTTTCACTTTCCATTAACGCCGCATTAAAAGCGTATTCACTCTCTGCAGAGCAAACGTAGACTTCACACTGTAACATAAGTTAGATGATCACTAGATTGATTCTGATATATTAACAGTATCCTGTTGTTTAAAAGAGCATCGCTTTCTTTTGATGGACATTAGCCTGTTTATTTTATATTGGTTACCATTTGTTTTATAGCGATGGACGGCAGTGTGTCCATAAACAGAATGTCGCCGGTGAAACCAATCTTGGCTTTTACTCAGCAGCTACCACCTGTTATTTATTCAGGAAACAATAATTTTTGAGATGCACAGATAGAGAAAATATGGTGGATAAAACAGTCCTGTTGGGCTTTACGCATGTATGCCGGTTTAGGCTACCTGCTTCAACAACGAGCTGCTCCGTGTTACTGCCACAATAATTATTTGCGTTATAAAGACTATTTTGATGCTTTAGGAATAATCTGATTGTATTGGCTTCCTGTGTTACTGCAAAGCAAGTGGTTTGGTTGGCTACATGTCCATAAGAAAAGATATAGGCAACAATAGTGGCTGGGCAGCAAGCTGATATTTTAAAGTGATCTTATCAATACCTTAATGGAGATTTAAAAAGGAAAATAATTGTATTAAACAGAAATAGCTAAAGATAATCAACCAGCAAAGCAAATTGCATTCCCTAGAAATAACCATGTTGCAGCTGTTTCTAACCTGATGAACAGCAGATGAAATATTATTATATATTTTGAGTACTCCACCCGCCACTGGGCAGCCGCCAGTACTAGTGCTGACATGGTGAACATGAGACAGACAGCAGAGATGAGGGCAAGAGCAGAACAGAGTCAAAGCCAGCACAGGCCAAAGCACCAGTTTATTGTAAGACTGATGATGATATGACTTATTTAGGCCTATTACTCAAGGGCTCAGCTGATGTGATTACATTACTTTAGGAGAGTTAGAGAGGAGTTTCTAGTTTTGAAAATGTATTTTAAGGCTCATTTAGTGATGTACTCTACTTGCATTAAATTCTAAGAATGCAGGAATAAATGTCTCTAAAGACCAGGAGGCCCCAACAAATGCTTTATTTGGAGAGTGGGTGACCAGGGACAAACTCCTTGGCCACTTTTTTAAAAACTTGTCTCCTGAAGTGTGTATGTGTCTCTGCCACGTGTCCATAAACAATTGAAAAGTAGTCAGTGTTCACACAGAGATGAGCGTCCTGCAGTATTTTAAGAGGAAGAGGACAGAGGTCACAGGAACAGGAGTAGAACAAACTAGGAGGAGGAGCTTGTAAGTTGTGGATAGCTACTAAACAAATTCTAAAACTCACATAGTAAAAGACTTGTTATTCCAACGGCATGTCACAGAGTTTGCATTAAAGACAGTTCTGTGTCACAAACATGTTGCAGGAAGAGTCAGGGCCAAGTGAGACACAGGAAATATCACAGACAGCTCACAAGTGTAACATTAGGATAATAAATAAATTTGTACTGTGGCTAGCTACATTAACCAGCAGCTGTTCCATGGTTTTCATGGTATGTAGTCGGTTTTTTCTAGTTATAGTATATATACTCGTCTCTCTGACCCTCTCCCTTTCCAAGTTTTTCTCCATCTTCTGTCACTACAAAGACCCTGTTTCAGCCACACTAATAAGTACATTCTGTTTTCAAAAGTCATAAGAAACGCATTTAAGTGCTTTATTTAAAAATAAATAAATAAATAAATAAAAACAAGGAAGCATAGCCGAACCCCCTAGCATTCAGCATCCCCCCCAGGTTCAAAGTCGCTCTATGCCCCTGATCAGCAGAAACATTTTATTTTTTTTAATCAGGGAGCAGCAGAAACAGTCTATGTTCAGTAGCAAGTGTCCCTGTACAGTGGTCGAGCACAAGGGTATCGACAAGCGGGTGCGTTCCGTGAAACTGTCGCGGTCGTGCTCGCCTCACGCACACGCCCTCCTGCTGCCGAAGTTGAATTGTCTTGAAACTTTTTGTACACGACGCGCAGCACAAATCATTGGAAGAGAGACTGATCCTCGCCTTTTGTGAGTTTCCAGAATCTAAAAAGTTATCAGGACATCAACAGGAGGGAATTCACAAAATCCGCGCAAAATTAAATGCAGGCCTATCAGGTAAAGTTAGCCTATGTATAATTTTAATTCAAGTTAAAAAGGCTACGGCTGTGTAGCGCGCAGAAGCTGTTGCCATGGTATCTGTATCCCTGCTGAAGCCTCTCTCCGCTGCTTGTTTGGGGGGTTATTTGCAGGCTGATCAACATCCCA